GGGTGTGTGGGTGTGGGTGTGGGTGTGGGTGTGGGATGGGTGTGGGTGGAGGTGGGTGGAGGTGGGGGTGTGGGGGTGGGTGGGTGTGGCTGTGGGTGTGTGGATGTGGGTGTGGCTGGGTGTGGGTGTGGGGTGTGTGGGTGTGGCTGTGGGGTGTGGCTGTGGGGTGTGGCTGTGGCTGGGGGTGGGTGTGGGTGGGGATGTGAGTCATGATTTAACTAACATCCATATGCACACCCACACCCCCACACCCTCAGTTTGTTATCGGATTGGTGATCCGAGACAATGCAGCCGTTATTAACTTCCCCAAGGTCATTCTATGACTGATAGGGCCGAGGTTTGAACACAGTATTTTACAGGTATGTGTCAATCATCTTAACTGCTCAACCATAGCGGGTTTCGTTAGGCACTAGCTAATTAATATTGTTATTTTTCTGAGTTTAAATAATTAGGGTGTGGATGTGGGGGTGTGGGTGGGTGTGGGTGTGGGTGTGGGTGTGGGTGTGGGTGTGGGTGTAGGTGTGGGTGTGGGTGTGTGGGTGTGGGTGTGGGTTTGGGTGTGGGTGTGGGTGTGGATGTGGGTATGAGCGTGGGTGTGGGTGTGTGGATGTAGGTGTGGGTGTGTGGATGTAGGTGTGGGTGTGTGGATCTAGGTGTGGGTGTTGGTGTGAGTGTTGGTGTGGGTGTGTGGATGGGTGGGGGTGGATGATTGTCCCTTGTAAACCCTCACACCCACACCCACACGCCCAGACGCTCACACCCCACACCCACACACCCACCCTGTTATTTTGCTCTACCAGTCGTGCGCGTATCCGATGAAAGGGAATGGGTGACATGTGGCGGTGGTGGGTATGTCGCATCTGGTCGACCTGAATGGGATAAAGTGACGTTACCAGTCTTTCCATTGGGATTAACATTGAATGATAGTGAAGGATCAGGTGAAGTACAAACACCATTAAGAATTGATCCGGCTCGAAGAGATGAAACAATAAAATCCATCGAACAAAATCGAGTGGTTTATTTTCGACATGCTAAGGCAGGCGAATTAGCTGAACGATTCGTCTTTTTTTTTCATAGCAGTCGACGGACACATTGTTGAGATGGCTAAAACCTATCGAGGATACGAGAAGTGTTTTTTCTGATTCAACAATAAGGCTATTTTGAAATTTGATCGTGCATGCGACTTCTTTGAGCAAATTATTCAGTCTCATGTTGTATAAAAAAAATCATTCCAATATGAGCCGCCAACGTGGTCTCCTAAAAGATACGCTAATCTCTTGAGATATATGTGGCATTTGGCGATGGCTATCAAAATAGATAGTAGAAGAAATTCTAGGCCTATCGTATTGCCCAAAAACAAATTTTGATGAAAACTGAGATTAAAATCGGATTTTTTTATCAAAAACTATTGTACGATTATAATCAGTTTTCCGTCTAAATATTTTGCATTGATGTTTCCTCTAGCTTTCGTACTACAGTGTCAGGTAGATGAACCCCGCACGTATCCGATGGAATGAATACTAAATAATGGTTCATTGTTGGTGTCATCATATCATCCTTCCGTCTTCATGTGAAAAATTTTGCTGAATAGCATGAAAACGTTATGATCTCAATCAGAAACTCTTTTCTACTTGGTTTTGTTGTAAATGACGGACAAGTATTCGCATTATTCTTCTTGTGGATGATTCTGTCTATCATATTCTCGGTCTATGATAATTCTCGATGGTTATCAACTGTGGTATGATTACGTTCACGGAATAAAAATGACTGAAACAGCCCTTTTATGAACAATAAAACAACCCAACCTCGATGGTTAAGAAAAAGAACAAGTCGATAATGATCAAGTTCAGAGCGAATGGTATTTGATATAAGTGTTTCAAACCTATCCTGTTTCGATAGCCCCATCGGTCATACGTATTGTTCATGTTATTGTACAGTGATCGGTAGACATCCCATTTTGAGATCCCTGTTTCTAGATGTCAATCTTATGATCATATGGTTTCTTGATTGTTTTTCTTCATCTACGAATGACCTTGAGCCATGATTGACAACATGAAGAACGAAGTGCACACCCTCAACTACATATTTTCCTGATTCTTGCGTATGCAATTGCCAGATAATATGAACATGGAACAGATTTTAACGATTACCGAAGTATCTTAAGCGGCCAAAGAATATCTACCGTACAGGATGTATGTACGTACAAAATCGTAGTGGTTGACATGTGGTACGTTATGACCATATATGAAAATCATTCGTAGGATTTTCTCAATCGTTGTATTATCGATGGGCGAAGGTCAATGGTCTTGAACCTAGTATAATAGTATCCATCAATAGGTATTTGACACAATGTTTTCACTATAAATCTCTTGAAAAAAATTAAGCCAATTACCATCAAAAATAATATCTACTTCTGCGAATGTCAATGGATTCTCATAGTATGTTGAAAGATCAAGATAAACTTGGAATCTGATCATACCTCAGTATGAATAGACAACAATGGTACATTTTAATCGACCAAACATTGGATGAATGTATTTTGATATCGACTTGTTGCTTTCTTCATTGCTTGGCGACAGACAATAAGGTTCACGGAAGTGTTCTTCATTCAGTCGTCGAGCATCGATGAAATTTTCCTTTTTGAAGAATTGTACAATTTCATTAGTCAATAATGAAAGAACGACGATGTGTCGAAATTGATAAAGACCATTCGTTCAACACATAGCCCATCACAGCTAATGTTTTTGACAAATTATTTCTATGTCAAATAATGACATTAGAAAGAGGGCGTGAGCACGGGTGTGAGTGTGGATGTGCTTCCAGAGAAGATCCGCACCCACATCCATCGTACATGAGAGTACAAATTCTCAAATTGTAGATTTTTTAACCTAGTACATGATAGTGGAGAATGGCGCTTAGTGGTTCGTGCAACGGACGTATTTTAGAGCATGATAACACTCATTTTTATTAAACGGCACCTAACAAATTGGAATGTATTAAGATTAGCCCCTGTAGTTGTATGTATATGATCGGAATGGTCGCTTTCTGCACTTCGATGCTTGTTTTGAATTTGACAAATTCTGGAATTCTAAGTTTGGATGATCATATTCTTTCCAGAGTACAATTTGTACTTGTATTCACGCAGCCCTCCTCGTAAAGCATTTCACGGCGGATCTTTCAAAAGAATATTAAGGTTATATGATTTATCTGTGGTGAAATATTTTTAAAATACTAAATGTTGCAATCTTTATGCCGCACTCGGTATATATGTTCGTTTTCCTTTGTAATTGTTGTTATTATTGTTTCGTCCTTTTTATATATCTTGACATTGTTATTTCTGTTCTCCTTAGTCAATAAACTTGATATTGGCCTTGATCTCTCTCTCTCTCTCTCTCTCTGTTTATAATACGCATTTTAATATGTGACAATTTGGCGACAAGATGGACGTGATAAAAAAAATTAAGAAAATAAAGCAATAACAATAATAATAGTTATTATCACTAAATCATAAACTATAATACTGAACTAGATTGTTAGTGTCGATGTGTGAGTGTGAAGAGAATACCCTCACCTGAGAGCCTTTCCACTTACAAGCGATTAAATTCCCAACATTTCAGTTTTGCATTAAACATGATTATAGATAAAAAGACATGTCATGAGATTTTATTCGATCCCGATCAGAAGACTCACGAATTTTGATATTTCTTTTCGAAGCGTCCATAACTGAACCCAACTTAGCGTCGAAACCTATAGTTATGGTATGAGCTGAATAATGGTGAGGATATTTATTTTTGCTGAAAACCCTTACAAGATCAGTAAAAACCTAATATGTGAAAAAAAAAGAAAGTTTGAACTTGTGTTAACGAAAAGTTAAGTCTACTGTGAAGTTTCAACTCTCATCCAATTGCCTTGAAATCTTCACGGCGCGCTTGCAGCCATGCTTGAAAGATATTCAAAAAAACAGGGACCAACATGATTCGAACATCACCCGGTTTCACACAATTTCCAAAGTTTTTCCAAGGACCAGTCCAATCTCTTAGTTTTGCAACACAACCAGCTTGCACAACACTGGGACTAAAAGCTTTAATGTTAACTCTTGGTATCGTATCACCATGCTCGGTATACCAATAAGTGGCACCCATTTTAGACGATGGAATTGAATCAAGTTTGTCTAACCCTAGGTAATGGCCAGTTGTTTTATCGGTGTACATGACAATGGGAAAGACGCCAGCAGCATCAATTGCATTTCCAATCCAGATTTTGGCATTTATTGGTTCCATCGTTTCGATTCCCCATTTATTCGTGATTATCCATTCACCAGCATAATCCAGGAATCGAGAATCGTAATTATACGCTTCGCAAACGTAATTGCAAGTTGCTGACCAAGTACATATTTTTGAATCCGAATCATATAAGAAGAATCCAGTTGCATTGAAATAATAGTAAGTGGTACCTGCAGTAATGATAAGCAATTGATTTGGATCATCCATGATCCATGTCGAATTTGTAATTAAATTTAATGCCTGAATACCAAAAATGCCATATCCATAATTACTTGGCAATGGATGGGGAAGTTTGTAAGCACTGATGTTCTGATTCGGACATTGCTCATGTTTCTCATGTTTACAGATTTGAAAATACCCAGTAGGTTGAAGTGCAACACCTGAGTTGAACGTTATGCGAGCTTTACCAAACGGTGGTTGATTTTCCTTCAAGTCTTGCGAAGAAGGAAAAGGAACACCAGATAGAATAATATCGATGATATATAGTTTTCCATCTAAAGCATTGACTTGTAATACTACCAATTGTGTATTAGGTTCAGTTTGGCAACCAGATCCGACACCATTGTATCCCATTGGTGGGCATTTGTAGTTCAAACTATAATTGTCCATTGTACCCAAAACAGTTAATGCACCAATGCGGACATAGTATGTTTGATTTGTATTAGGATCAATGTAGGTCGTGTAATTCGTAGTCAAATTCGTGATCTGGCTCCAATCATAGGTCAAACAATTGTCAGTGGTACTTCCATTATCAGTCAACTGCACAGTAATTTCAATACAGGATGATGGCACTCGTTGCATGTAAAAAAAGTCATCACATATAACTGCGAAAATATGAGGAATGCACGTGAATGACAACGAGTACAGAATACTGAATAGAGCAGAGAAAAACTCAAGTTGATGATTCGGAACTCCGAAAACAATCAAAAAGATGCAAGATAACCATCGAATTCAGTAGAAGATCTCCGAAAGTCTTCGGAATTTGAACACAGTATTCCGAGTCGAAAAGTTTCGAAATTTTTCCGCTGGCTTTCGGCTATTTTTCGCCGAACAGTACAAAAAGTTGACTAGACGTCATTGGAAAAACTTAGTGTATTGCCGCGCCGAAATACTGTGTCCAAGTTTCATGACTTTCTGATATTTCATGCTGGATCCCACCATTTTGCTGTCACTTAGGAATGACTCTGACAACTCCATTTTACAGTGAAGAAATAAGCGAACTCACCTGTTCCAGCAAGGAAAAAAGCCAAGAATACCAGCGCAGTTAAAATATTGGTAGAAGACATCGTTTCATTTAATTGTACGAACGTGTTTGTGATGTTGAGTTATATGATTTTTTTCTGTAAATAAATCTCTAACTAGACTGTTAATTTTTCTACAAGCACAATGGCCCAAATAGGAGTGTCTAGCGGAATGTTTTTCTGTTATTAATTGCACTATGGTGTGCATATCTGTGTACGCGTAAACGAACTGCAGCAAATATTTCTATATACATCATTTGATTTGATTTGTATAGGCCTTTCATTTGAGGGGGCGAACTTTTTTTGCCTCAAATACTGACTAAGAAATGGGCGCATAACAACATCAAGTATTTCTCAACAGACCTATGCGCTCCAAAGGTTTGATTTATCTCCTATATGATTGGAAATTAAAAAGAAGAGCATGTGAAATAAATCTATAGATCAGAAATTGCAGTCATTTCAGTGATCTTTTTGACCCACTTCTCAGTAAACCATGGGAATGAGCACTTCTCCATGAGAAGCTAGGCTTCACTCTGTTTAGTTTGTTAATATATTTTCCGTCATTGTTGGATCAT